GGACAAAAGCACTTCGGAGAATAGCAATTTAGAAAAAGAAACTAGAGATTCGGTAAAAGACGCTATAAGTAGTAAGAAAACAGTCACTTTCGACACCCCCATCTCAAGGGCGAGACCTAATGCTCAATCAACCCCCTATGTACCTAACCCGATTCAGGAAGAATCAGAGTTAGACGAGTTAGAAATAGAGCCTAGGCAAAAGGGAGTGGTTCCACGTAAAATAATAACGAACGAAGTGAAAAGGGTGCCTGATAAAAATAAGATAAGGTTCAAACCTGGGATAAACATAGCGATGCCCCACATTGACGTTCGAGAACCTCCTTTTCAAAATACGAAACAAGATGAAAAGGAAATTAAACTAGATAGGCTGAATGTTCTAACCTATGATAGAGGACCATTAACGAATAATAGGGACAATTATGTTCATTTTATGTCAGCAGATGCAGAGCCATCTACACCAACGATTAAGTTGTTGATAGCGACAGGAAGAATAGATTTGCAGGAAATAAAAGTAGCAAACCGAGGGTAGGGCAGGTTCTAATTACGCCAAAAGGGAAATATAGGACATTCTCCGTAATTATAACAGAAAAATGCGATCAAAAAATAAACGAAGAGGATTTAGATTTCGCTTTGCACAATCTTAAAGGTGTTTTAATCAAAGAGGGAATAAAACGATTCAGGGTGTCGCGCTATGGTGACTTATTGGATGAATGGGGTGAAAAAGGTATAGAAAAGTTAGTAACAACATTTCTCAGCAGTGGAATCGAAATTAAGTTATGCTACGGGAAAATAAACATTCCCACAAAGGAATATCGCGAGAAAATAATATCAGAATACCATGACAGTTTAATAGCAGGTCATAAAGGGGTAAACAAAACGTACCAGCGAATCAGGGAAAAATTTACATGGCCAGGATTAAAACAAGATATTACTGAATATATCCGAAAATGTAGAAGTTGCGCGCAAAGAAAGATAGTACGAACAAAAAATAGAGAACCAATGCTCATAACCGATACACCCCTAGAAGCGTTCGACAAAGTGTGCCTAGATACGGTAGGAAAATTACCCACTACGGCGGATGGAAATTGTCACGTATTGACTATGCAAGACCAGTTAAGCAAATATTGCATATTTATACCCGTCCCAGACATAAGTGCGACGACAATAGCTCACGCTCTAGCAACGCACTTATTTTCAATTTATGGAGCACCTAAAACCATCCTAACAGCTAGGGGTAGAATGTTCACTAGCAATTTAATGAGAAGATTAGCCAAACTTTTTAAAGTGTCACAAATAACCACTACTGCTTATCCTCCACAAACGAATGGTGCCCTAGAGAGAAGCCATGCCGTATTGGCAGAATACATTAGACATTACGCAAATTCAAACGACGATTGGGATCGCTTATTACCCTTTGCGATGTTAGCATACAATACCTCAGTACATAATGCGACTAAATTCACACCTTATGAGGTAGTATTTGGGAAGAAGGCAAGGATTCCCACATCTTTTCCCACAGAAGAGAAGTTAGCAACGTACGAATCCTATTTGCAAGAATTGGTTACGCGGCTTATCGAAATCAGGAGGCTAGCGGCAAAAAATATAATAGACGCTAAAATTAAATCAAAAGAGGTTTATGACCAACAAGCTAGACCGTTGGATATAAAAGTAGGTGATGTAGTAGATGTAAAAGAAGAGGTCAGAGCAGGAAAGTTTGAACCTTATTATCATGGACCCTACGAAGTTATTTCCATCACTGAGAATAGCAACTTAATTCTATGCGACGCTGAAGGAAAAAGGTTTAGGAAACACAAGGACCAAGTCAAAAAGGCGTACTTATGACTAGAAAACGAAGCAGGATTTCTAGAAGATAGGGACGGCTTCATACATGTTTTTACCGACGGGGCTTGTAAAGCTAACGGCAAAGAATCAGCGAGAGCAGGTATAGGAATATGGTTCAATAAACAACATCCTCTCAATGTCAGTGAAAAAGCGAAGATAAAACAAACCAATAATGGAGCAGAAATAGAAGCTATCGTGAAAACAATTAGCATATTAAAGAAAAAAGGGGTACGCAAAGTCAGGATACACACCGACTCCAAGTTTGCGATAGATGGTTACCTGAGCTGGTTACCAAAATGGCAGAAAAATGGGTGGAAAACTAATAGAAGGAAAACTGTAGTTAGTAAAGAAATATTTAGCAAACTAAACGACAATATAACAGGGATTAAAGTAGAACTAATTTATGAACCAGGGCATAGTGGAATTAAAGGCAACGAAGAAGCCGATAGTTTAGCTAAACTAGCTATAGAATAGAAAGACGGTTGCTGCCCAAACCCAATAGATTAGCAAATTTAACTAAACGTTAGTTTAAAATTTTGGTTGCAGAATCACAGCCGAAAATGAAGGGGATAGCGCTATTTCTAACCGGGCTCTTATTAGCAGTCAGAGGACAAAATTCAGGCATCACTATAATATCGATGAACAAAATTTCAGGCATTTATTATGAAAGAATATCCACAGTACTAAGAACCACCGGGTTTTGGAGAACAGCCATTGTTTTAGACATGGAAGATTTTTTAAACCAACTACCAGTTTTCGAAAAACACGTAATAGGATCTAACGAGCCATGTAGGAAAATATTGGGCAGTAATTGTCATCACTTCGCGGACACGGAAGGCTTGAAAAATAGGTTGGAGATAGCTAGATTGCACTGGAAAGAAGTACAAAGGGTTATCAAAGCCCTAAAACATTCGGAGTCAACAAAACGAGAATTCCTAAATAACAGAATTAACAAAAGAAGTGCACCATTAATCGGGATACTAGGAAAACTGATAGGCCCCACGATCGGAGTTTTAACCTACGAAGAAGGAGAAAACTATAAGGCGGTCATGTTAGAACTCAATGAAGCTCAAAGGAATATTTCTCATCTAATGGGCGAACAAACACATGTAGTCCGAGCGGAATTACACAAAATGTATGACATAGCCGAAAAACAACACAATCAATCGCAAGAGTTCAGGGAAAATTTAAGAGCGTTTGAGGATGAAATTTTACGTTTTCGAAAGGAATTGGATCACGAAGCTTATTTGAACAATATTAGGAATACCATTGAAAATTGGAACCGCGAAATAGGGATTTACGAACACAGTCTAAGTGAAACACTTGATATAATGTATAAGGCGAAAGAAGGAAAATTGTCACCTAAATTGTTAACAGACGAACAACTAGTAAACATAGCAACAGAGGCGAAGAAGTATTTGAAGGGCGTGGACTTTCCGGTACCTATAGACGATATAACACTTTCAGACGTGGATAGAATCTCACAAACAGACATACACACTAGCGAGAATAATTTGATTATAACCTTAGATATTCCTCTGGTGGAAGAGAGAATTTACACATTATATAAGATGCATGAAGTGCCGGTTTTACAAGAGTCAGGAGAGAACGGAACTAGAGCTTATATATCAGCATATGCAAAATATCTAGCAATTACAAGCGATGAAAGGTATTATTTTTATCTAAATGAGGAACAACTTAAAAGCTGCAAGCAGATAGAAGATAAATACATATGTAATCACATGCACGGAGTTTACGATATTCTGTCAGTACCGGGTTGTGAGGCCGAGCTTCGAAGAAATCCAAACAACGAAACCCTAAAAATTTGTGACATCAGGTTCACTAAAAATCAACAACCACTTTGGGAACCACTGATCACAACAGGTAGTTGGTTATACTCTCTTATCCATTCGGAAATAGTGTATTTGAATTGCCCACAGAGAGAAGCCGAAGCTTATACTTTGGCAGGTATAGGAATTGTACATGTGGCGAGAGAATGTGTTCTTAAGTTAGATACTATAGAATTGCCGAGTCTTCAAATTAAAGAGAATCCGTATAGATATCTTTATAAACCCAAACTCGAATTAAAGTTAGAAAATGTATCATTGATACTGAAAGATGTAGGTCGGAAGGTTGTAGTAGTAGAAAACGACAACAAATTCTTTTCATGGAAAAAGTCGGATTCAGACGAAAAACTGAAATTATTAGAGAAAGAATTCGAAGAACAAAGCCAACGTGTGTTGAACCAAAAACTCAATGAGACGTATTCCCCAATAATGATAGGAATTTGGGGCACGGTCACTACAATAGCAATTTTAGCAACAGTGATAATTATTATGATTACTTGTAAGAAAAGATCCACAACCATAAACAATATCCTGAATGGAAAGGACAAAACAAATGAAGTACCACTAAGAGATTTATCCCAAGACATTCCAACCGAAATAAATCAAACAAAGGTTACGACATCCACAAAAGAAGAAGCTACAGCCAGCTTCTCAGAATCTATTCAAGTATTAACTTCAGGGACACCTACACCAAAACCAAAAAGAAGAACCGTAATGTGTCCAGTTGTAAAAGTCCATTAAAAAAGAAGAAAAAAAGATAAAATGATCATTTTTTTTTAAACCAATAATAACATAGATCGGGTTGATCCAATATATATATTTTTTTTTAGGTATATAGTTGTATATAGTAGCATTTTTTTTAAAAAAAAAAAAAAAAAGGGGGAAAGAACTAACAATATAGATTTAAGGTATAAAAAAAAGGGGGGGGGAAATATATATTTTTTTTATATATATAGGATTTTTGTTTTTTTTTACAAATATTAGCTGCCACTAATGCATATTTATGCACGCGCAACTATGTATAAACAACCACAATTAAGAGGTTTGTCGCTGAGTAGTGAAAAGCATCTTATTAGCCCAGTTGCAGGTCAACAAGTAATGTAAAAATGGGTTCTAAAAGAAAAAGGGGTATTCAAAAAAAAAAAACATACAGATATACATATATATACAATAATAAAATCAGCACATTATTAGAATTACATTCATAAAAAAAATTACGGTTGTAATATATACTTACTTTAAAGCTGACACCACAAAAAAAAAAAAAAAAAAAGAACAGGGAGAATTAGAAATAGACAAGGGTAAACTTACTTAATAAAAATTAGGACCAGCCCACCGATATTCCATTCGGATGGAACCGTCAGCTAAAACTCTACGCCGAGCTATCAGCTGCAGGACCACTCGTTCGTCAGCCGCCGGAGGTACTAATAAAAAAAAAAAAAAAAAAATTAAAAAAAAAAAAAACTTTAGTATAAATATACTTTAATTATATACTGACCATAGGGACGAAGGGGGAGATCGCCGTTCAGCAAATGAGTGGCAGAACTATGGGCTGGTATGTTATAAAAGTTGCCTAAAAAAAAAGAGAAGGGAAAATAAAGAAATTACAGCTTGTACATACTTACACTAATAAAGGATTGATTTATATGGGGTAAAATCAATAGGAATAATAAAAAAAAAAATAATAACCTAATACCTTCTAAAGGAAAACCCTCCGGAAAATAAGAATTAGTCTGAGCGGAACTGTCCCGTTTCGGGCAAGATTCAACGGACCCAACAACTGTAGAGGGGGGTGCTAGAAAAATAAAAGAAAATTTTTTTGTGACAATGGAAATTAAGGACGGGGTAAAATATAAGTTCATCAAAATGTATTTTTTTGGAGGCTACTAACCTGGGCTATAAGGTCTAGCATGGGCGTCAAAATACGCCTCAAAAACGGGATCAGGGGAAGCAGGAGTGTCCGGTATGTCACTTTGGGCGGCTAGAAAAGAAAATTTTTTTTTTGGTATATAGTTATAAAAAAAAAGAAAAAGAATAAAACAAAATAAATAAAATATAAAAAAAAGGGGTATGCAAAACATTTTTTTTAAATTGAGTATTAAGGGTGGTTTAAGGCACTTACGGGTGATATCGGCTAGTGGCAAGGTTGAGGCATCACTGATTTCGCTGTCGGAAGAATTAAGGGCCACTTCGGGCCAAACAATGTCCTCACGACGGGTGAGGGAAACAAACTCTAAATCGCTAGAGCACGTAGAAGGGGAACTCATCATACTAAAAATAAAAGAAAATTTTTTTTTGGAAAATAAGAATTTATAAGTTTAACATAAAATGGGTATTCCTTTAATTAACTATAATAATTATGAGCGGGTTTTAACTAAAAATTATTATTAAAAGAAAAAAAAGGAAAAAAAAGGTCATTATCTATACAACATCAAACTCATTTCTTTTGTGCATATAAACAAATGATAACGTGAAAATTAGAAATATACCTATTATTAATTTATTTCTCCACTAATAATATTGATTATTGTTACAGGCCTCGGATTATACGACTTTTTCGACTATTTCCGATTTTTTTTTCTTGTTTATATTACGTTTTATTAATTGTTAAGGCTGCAGTCCCATGGCAGCGTTTTGCGTTGCGTTTTGTCACTAGACCCTGAGTGTAAACATAGCAAACATATATCTGCATCTCTTTTACACTCATGGTCTAGTGACAAAACGAAACGCAAAACGCTGCCATGGGACTGCAGCCTAAGTATACTGCTAGTATCAGATTTCAAAATGTAGTACCCTTGTTTTTTTTAAGCCTAAGCAATTATGGTAAAAAAAAAAAAAAAAAAAAAAATCTTGATTTCTAAAATGCGAATATTTAAAAAAATGTGTTAACCCTTCATCATTGTAGTTAAAAGTAATTCTACAATTACATATAACATTTTCTTGCATATATTCTGTTTTACTCTTTGCGGTTTAAAACTTGGATATATTTAATCCTTTATGCGCAGATTCTGACTAGTCACTTTTGTTTAGTCCTATTCGCCGTAGATCTTCTATTAATTTTGTTTACTTTTTTCTGCGTTTTACCCCATGGTACCTCACTAAATAAAATTTTCATCCATTTAGAGTTATTTTTTTGTCTTCTCAGTATCTTTTAATTTTTTCTTTGCATTTCCCTTTGTTTTCTTCTTGATTACTTTCAATTTGTTTCCTGTTGTATATAAATCCTTCCAACAAACTCCTTTAATACACGTTACATCTTTTGGATTTACTGGCGCCTCAGGTCGCAATACAGCAGCTTTTATGATATTTATTTTAGCCTCATTATCTTCAAAAAATATAGTTTTATCACCTACAAGATAATTTACTTCTAACTTTACCGTGGGTTGCCCTCTTCCAATTTCATTAAGTTCAATGGTATTACATGCTGGAAAATGACTTCTATTGTCATCTACATTTCTAGGTTCATAAGATGTTTTATTATCCGCCATTGATATGTTATTTGAAAATTCTTGATCATCGTAATTTTCTTTATTTTCCCATCTAATAAAATCTGCATTAACAAAAATTATTAGAAATTTCTTTTATTTATAATAATCATTGTCTGAAAGTTAACACAATCTTTTGAAACTAAATTATTTTCCAAAATTTCAATTGAAATTCAATTATTTGCAAAAATTTCAATTATAAATCGTTGAAAATTCAGTTATTAAAAAAAAAAAAAAAAAAAAAATGTTATCTGAAATTATTTAATAAATAATTTCTAATTCTGTAAAATTTAATTATTGTCTGAAAATTGACAAAATCTTTTGAAATTCAATTATTTCTAAAAATTTCAACTTTATAACTCTTCTAAAACTATTATTAAAAAAAAAATAAATAAAAAAAAAAAAAAGAGAAAACATTTTTATTAGAAAATCTGTAATTTTTTTTCTCTCTGGAATAAAAAAATTTTTTTTTTACACATAATTCGACTAAAACGATTTTTTTTTGGGGTGCCTTTAAGTCGTTCCAAGGCCTGTTATTGTTATTAATATTATTATTATTTTAAAACAACCACTACATTCAAAGTTAAACGAGCGCTCGCGCGCGTGTAATTTTGCTAGTTATTAAATAATTTTCTAAAGGGGTAATTCATTTTTTTATATATAGAGGGATCAATTAATTATTTAGTTGTATTAATTAATAAATGACGTTCAAAACTCTATTAAAGTTAATAAAAAGGAAATGTACTATAATTGCTTTTAAACGACGTCGAGAAATGCAAAAGGAAATAACATAAAGTCATACATACAACAGGCATAAGAGTAACTGAGAAAGTCAGATGAGAAAACAGAGAACATACAAGGTCGCGAGTAAGGTGTATCAGAGAGAGAGAGAGAACGGGGAACTGCAGTGCGTAGTTCTTTCTCTCTCGCACAATGTCAAGGGACGCGAGGGGAGCCTACACTCAACGCGTTAAGCGAGGACCCTTTCCAGCAGTATCGAAACAGTGCCTTATATGAAATATCATTATTAATTTTTCTTTATTGTAGGGGATATATGTTTGATTTTTTTTTGGGGAACCCAATTCATAAAATATTTAAAAAAAAAAAGGGATATGAATGTTATCAAGTTTATTATCAACATTAATAATAAAAATTTTTTTTTACGGTTATAAAATAGAAAAAAAAAATTAGCAAGATAATTTAGAATAAAAGAAATTTAGAAAAGTAGAACGTAGTTATATATTTAGAATATTACAATATTATATAAATAATTAATTTCAAAGGATAAACACATTTTTAAGTATTTAAAATTTCTTTTTTAGAATATAGCTTAAAATATTTTTGACTAAAAACTGCGTGACAAGGATAATAAATTACATTATTTTCAATGGGATAATCATTGTAATTTAAAAAAAAAAAAAAAAAAAAAAAAAAAAAAAAAAAAACAAAAACAACAAAAAGAAAGAGATATATTAATTCAATAATAATATATTAACATAGTTAACATCGATGCCATTTTATCAAATTCTAAGTAACAATTATATCAATATTTTATTAAATATACCAAAACAAAAGATTTTTTTTTATGAGGTAAGACTAAATTTAAATTACAAAAAGGTTGAACACGGCAACCTCGCAAATACCGCGGGAAATTTGACACGCGAGAGACGACTTATCAAAAAGAACGATACTCAGCAGTAAGCTACAAGAACAAACTATAAAAAAATTAAAATAAAAGAAAAAGGGGATATATATATTTAGAAACAAACAAGAAAGACAAAGAAGAAATACCGTATACTTGAAATATAAAATTAAAATCAATGAATGATAAGAGTTACTCAATAAAACTTACCGTTGATGGAAAAACTGGAACTAATTCAAGGAAAGACACCACAAACAATTATTCACAACAAAACACTCTGAAAACTGCACTTACACAATAAACAAGTTAAAAACAAAAAAAAAACAAAGGGCGGAGTAAAATACACGCGATACGTGCCACTATAACCGCGCGAAAGCGAAACAATGGGATAAAGAAATGGGGATCAAGAGGAAGGAGAGACGAAGGGGGAAGGAAATCGCGACGGGCCGTAAGATGCTGCCATCGCGAGAATTAATTATCAAACGAAATGAAGCCCAGTGGCTTACCATGAGCACGCAGGCACTACAGGTAGCACGGGAAATAAAAGAGGGCAATAAGGACACCACAATCATTAAATGAAGAGTTTATTATTTTTTTTGGTTGCATTTTTTTTTATGAAATATAAAAAAAAAACTATTTTTGTTTTAATTTTTTTTTGGAACTAATATTGAAGGACATTTTTTCTTGGAAAGAGGTTTAAGGCATAGAAAAAAAAAATAAAAGAGATCAACATTTTTACTATCTTATTATTTTATTTTTTTTTTATTTTATTATTCATTATTTTCCTCTTTATTTATTTTTTTTTTTACATATATAAACACTAATCAGCAAATCTCATTTTTTTATATAAATACATTCTGTATCTAATCCCAAAAATGTGGAAGAATATTTGGGTTACAAACAATTTTTCTTAGAAAATATAAATAACACAATAACAATAGAATATAAATAACAACAACTAGCACTCATGCCAAATAACCGGCATGCGTAAAGCCCATCTCTGAAAAAAAAAAAAAAAAAAAATGAGAAAAACATTTTTTTTTATTTTAACAAAATTTTATAAAACAAAAAAAAAAGGGAACTTACCGTCTCCCACATACTGCCCACTAAAACAAGGTCTTCCCACTCTTCTTTATATCTCTGAAAAAAGATTAATTCCAAGGCCAGATTAGTATGACGAGGCCCATAAGTCCTCGGAAAAGCGGGTAAATGGGAAAGGGGACTGTAAAAACAAAAGGGAAAAATATTTAAGTTGAGAATCAAATTTTATTTTTTTTTTAGGTATATTAACTCACGCAAAATTTCAAATGCATAAATTTAGAATACTCACTAATTGGAGATATTAACACCCAAACAGCCCTGAATCTCCTCAATTTCCAAGGTATCAGGAACTGTACACAAGGTGGGGTGTCGAAAGGATGCTGGCGCCCAGTAACCACGGTATTGATATTTTTTTGCATCCCAACTCCAACGGTACTCCTGGTGCCAAATAACCTCCCCCACATCGCTTTTAACTGCTTTCCGCATACCCACCAAATCCAAAGGCCATTTAGAGAAAGAAGGGTTTCTAACTGGAGCATCTACCCACTCAGGTATAAAAATTTGAACCCTAAAACAAATTTTTCTTGTTTTAAGTAAAAGCACAATTAAATAAACGTAAAACATTTTATAAAAAAAAAAGGAAAGGAAGTAATTAAACAAAATACATACCCACGACAGCCACTCAACACTTTATCTGACTGCAATTTCTCCAGCTCGAACCTCTTCCAAACTAAAAAACCCGCCGCATCCACCACGCCACTCCTAGCCAATTCAAGGGCCATCATATAAGAGTCGAAAGAAAGACATTGGGAAGACAGAAGTTGTTAAATAATTGCACAAAGAAACTTCGAACAAATAACAAATGAAACAAAATTTTGTAATATAGCTTAGAACTCGAGAAAGACTATAGAAAGACTGATCACGTAATATAAACGAACACTTAAAGGAAACACTTTCTGCAAACTAACAAAAATAAAAGAGGTTCAGCAAATTTTTACATAAAATATAATACAAAAATGCGACACATTTTTTTAGTATGAATAATATATAACGTGAATCAAATTCATTTCTACTAACCTTTTTCTCACCTTCATTAAAAAAAAAAGAGAGAGCTGTCAAGGGACGACAGCAAGAAAAGAGAGAGGGTTAGGGGTTGGAGAACAATTTTTTTTTTAATACTTTACCTCCAACATTTTTTTTGTGTTATTTTTTTTTATATACACAGGTATTGGTCATTAAGAAGATTTTCTTTATTTTAGTTTTTTTTATTTCGAAGCAGGACAACTATCAATTGTTTTCATTTTTTTTTTGGGGTATTCAACATCAAAATATATAAATGTATGGATACGTATTGAAATATATGACACATTTTTTTTCAAAAGAAAACAAGAGTCAATATTTCATTTTTCCTTTTAATTATTTTAAAATACATTCCATACACTCGAATTTATGTGTTATTTATTTTTTTTTTTTTCTCCAACTTGAGCAAAATTAGGAAGCTATTAAAATTGATAATTATATAATAATTTTAAATTAACCAAACTTAATAATTAAATTTCTAATATTTGTTTTTATATATAAATACCAACTTATAACGTAATAAAAATAACGAAATTTAGTAATTTGCTGGTTCTGATTTTATTCTCCATTTTTTTTTTTTTTTAATTTTTTTTTATAAAAAAAAAAAATAATAAATAACATCAGTTTTTTTTTTATTTTTTTTTATCATTTCTTTTGGTACAAACAACATTTTTTTTAGGACGAGAACTTATTTGACTTTTCCCTAAAAATCTTCCTAAAACAAAAAAAAAGAGGAAACGACTATTTATCATTGTAAAAGGAAAATCAGTTCTCGTTAGATTTTTTTTCAGCTATTCTACAACATACAACATTTTGCGTTCTTGGACAATTTGTAAACATTTTAAAAAAAAAAAAATGTAAAACCACTAAAGGACTCTTTGTAAAAAAAAAAAAAAAAAAATTTTAAAAATAGATGACATCACACCTACACAGGCTGCCAAGGGACGTCAGCCAGAATAAAGGGGGGTATTTGTTACGGACGGATTTCCGTAATTTTTAATTTTTTTTTAGGCGATAAATATTATTTATTCAAAATAATATTTATATTATCAGCGTTACAACTATTTGTCAATTAAATACCTACGTCTATACAACACACAACACACACACATACTAAGTTTTAGACACTAGAATAGTTAAATAATATTTCTAATTATTCAATAAATATTTATAAATTCATTTTTTTGTTATTTAAATTTCTAAATCAAAGTTTATTTCGCAAATGAGTTCAGTTTATTGAACTTCATATTGCGAAATAATTCAAACTAAATTCACAGTCGATTTCGCAAGTTGTGGGACTTACACTCTAAGAGTTGCCACATTATTTTAGGAAAATGAGGAAACACATAAAGTATACCGTTAATAAAGGTGGTTGAACCGATCACGCCACGATTAAAATGCAAGTTTTGCTAAAACTTGCATGGAAACAACGAGGTGTTGATTGCAAAATCAACCCTCCCACCACCTAAAATTATATACCAAATGGGTGTGATCGTGCCCACAAAATTATTATTCAGGGAGTCTTAATTTGTTTTTCCCGCAGAGCGGATGTATTTCCCGCCAAGGAGCGGATGAGTATTAAAGTTTAACTCCCACTAAGAGTGGTAGAGAGGATCATTTATTCCCCATAGTAAGGGTTGAAGTTCATCGAGTTTTATTTATTAAAAATATAAGTGTTTATTCCACAATCTGTGAAGTCGACGAGTACATAAAAGTTCATTAAAATCAAGAAGATTATCTGAAAAGTATAAAGTGTTCTAATTGTTAAAGTGAAGAATCCATTTCTCGTCTAAAAGTATTTATTATATATTCGCAATTGTTTATATTTCAAGTTTACTGTTCAGAAAATTCAGATTTTGTGACCCAATATTCTGAATTTTTAATAAACAGAAATTGAAATATTGAAATAATTGTCCGAAGACAATTAACAAAAACAAGTTTGATAAAAGAAAATATATAAAAATAAACGAAGGTGGAAAGATAGCTTCCGCATACTGCAGATTCATATGACAGATAACAATTTAACTTCTGAGAGTGAGAAAGTAATTTGATACTTTTCGGTATCATTTTAGTTATTATTATTTGGGTGAGTTGTCTTGAATTTATATTCATAATTTGGAAATTACAGAATCTCATAAAACCAACACTATTACACTTGTTTCATTTACACGAATTAATTTTTTTGCTGTTGTTATTAAAATCCTACACGCATTATTGATCTCTTGTTTGTGTTCATAATATATGATTTTTGTGAGACTTGAATTATCAATTCAAGTAGCTTAACGTAGCAGTATTTTCCATTGTAATCATTTTTTATTTAAAGATCAATTGGGGTTTTGAATGTATTTTCTATTGGGGGTTGTATGAATAAATGTTACCTTATTTTATGTCAATTCAATTCTCAATTTATTTAATCACCTTTATTTGTGTTATCTCATTTCTTTCTTTGTGAATATTTTCAACGAAATACCGTCTACCCGGGGGTGTTGAATAGATAACACTCTAAGCAACAGTCCACTACCTTTTTCTATCTTGTGTAGCGAAGAGCAATTACGCTTACCGAATAAGCGGGTTGTTAATAATAAAGATTAGTGTAGTTTCTAACTTATTATTTTTCTTCAAAATTTATTTTACTTTATTTATTTTTTTGTTAATCAACATCCGTCTTTAACATATAGATAGGACAGTTTTAAAAAAAAAGTGTAATTGTTACTTTGTTTACACATGTTTTTAAGCATAATATCCAATAATTTAAAATATTTTAAAATTTTACAAACAATTTTTACTTAAATAATTTCTTGCGATTGCTTAATTTAAACAGTGGGACATTAAACACTGGGACAGGCAAAAATTTAAGTTTATGAAACGTGGATTTTGGCAACACTAATTATAAGTTGTGTCAGCTATACGCATGGGCATTTATACTTACACAACGACTAAAAATGTGATTTTTTTATGCTAAAAAACATTAAAAAATTCAAAATTTATAATTATTACAATTATTGTTCGGCAACATTTGAAAAATAACACTTGATAAGAGAACGACTATTCAAATTTTCCTCCAAATTGTTTTTAGGTTATGACCAAATTATGAGATATGATCAGCAGTATTGTAAACGTAAAAAAATAATAGCAATTTTTCATTTGAAACTCGACATCATTATAAAAATGTAAAATATTATTATATTATGAGTGTTTTGCAACATTTGTTAACGTTATTTAATACAAAA